TAATGATCTCGAGCATTTCCTCGTGTGTCTGTTGGCTGCCTGAATGTCTTCTTTGGTGAAGTGGCTGTTCATATCTTTTGCTCATTTTTTAATTGGATTATTTGTCTTTTTGTTGTTGAGGTCTTGCAGTATCTTGTAGATTTTAGAGATTAGATCCTTATTGGATATATCATAATCCAAAATTTTTTTCCAGTCTGTAGGTTGTCTTTTGACTCTTTTGGTGAAGTCTTTTGATGAGCATAAGTGTTTGATTTTAGGGGCTCCTAGTTATCTAGTTTCTCTTCTGGTGTTTGTGCATTGTTACTCATAGTTTGTATACTATTTATGCCATGTATTAGGGCCCCTAGTGTTGTCCCTATTTTTTCTTCCATGATCATGTTTAAGTCTTTGATTCATTTTGAGTTAGTTTTTGTGTATGGTATGAGGCATGGGTCCTGTTTCATTTTTTTTTACAGATGGATATCCAGTTATACTAGCACCATTTGTTAAAGAGACTGTCTTTTCCCCCATTTAACGGACTTTGGGCTTTTGTCAAATATCAGTTTCTCATAGGTGGATGGATTTATGTCTGGATTTTCAATTCTGTTCCATTGATCTATGTATCTGTTGTTGTACCAGTACCAGGCTGTTTTGACTACCGTGGTGGTATAATAGGTTCTAAAATCAGGCAGTGTGAGGCCTACCACTTTGTTCTTCTTCCTCAGTAATGCTATACTTATCCTGGGTCTCTTCCGTTTCTGTATGAAGTTGGTGATTTGTTTCTCCATCTTGTTAAAAAACGCTGTTTGAATTTGTATCGGGTTTGCATTGTATCTGTAGATCGCTTTGAGTAGAATTGACATTTTCACAATGTTGAGTCTTCCTATCCATGAGTATGGTATGTTTTTCCACTTATGTAGGTCTCTTTTGGTTTCTTGCAGTAGTTTTTTGTAGTTTTCTTTGTATAAGTCTTTTATGTCTCTGGTTAGATTTATTCCTAAGTACTTTATCTTCTTGGGGGCTACTGTAAATGGTATTGATTTGGTGATTTCCTTTTTGAAGTTCTCTTTGTTGGTTGATTATCTCTTGAGAATCACCCCTCTGACTCAGGTTTCTATTGGTCCACTCCACAGACTGTGGGAATCCCACCCAGGCAGCCCTTTTGCACCTGTCCCAAGCCACGGCCTTTTCAATTACCTCATATGCATGTGAAAGCTGGACAGTGAAAAGGGTAGATCAAAGGAGAATTGCCTTATTTGAATTGTGGTGTTGGTGGATAATATTGAATATACCATGAACTGCAAAGAACAATACCAAGAACAACTCTGTCTTGGATAAAGTACAGCCATAATACTGCATAGAAGCAAGGATGGCAAGATTTTGTCTTGCTTACTTTAGATACGTCATCAGGAAAGACCAATTGCTGGAGGACATGACGCTTGGTGAAATAGAGGGTCAGCAGAAACAAGGGAAACCCTCCATGAGATGGACTGACATGGTGGCTGCTACAATGGACTCAAACATACCAAAGATTGTGAGGATGGCACAGGATTGGGCAATGTTTCATTCTGTTATGCATGAGGTCACCATAAGTCAGAGCTGACTTGACAGCAAATAACAATAGGCTGTCTTGATCCTGCCCTAATGGAAACACGCCCAGACTGTGCTGCCACAAGCCCTGAGCGAGCAGGCCATTTCTAATGCAGTTACTTCTCCCCACTCTGTCATCAGCATAGCTAGCCAGGAACCATCTCTTGATTGAGGCTTTCTCATGGGCCTGGTGTGACCTCTGCCACACCCATGACTCTCTGCCAGAATAGTTGGTGAAGCAGTCCCATTGGATCACCCCCTCGTCTCCTCCATTGAGGGGGTAGGTAACGGTGGGGAGAAATGTTCAGTACTCTAAAGCTTTCTCCAAAGAAATTCTCTCATTTTTTTAGACTCTTCAACTTTGACCATTATAACCTTTAAGAAGGACTAAGTTTTCCAAAAAAAAAAGACTCTGTTGACACCTCTATTGCAAATTCTGGGAAAGGAAAAATAAGGACCAAGGGACTTATTTATATTTGATCTAATACTATTTAAGATTCATAAATTAGTTTCTGTACTTTCAGCTCTCTCAAGTCAGTAGACTTTTCCTACAGAAACAAGCTAATATAGAACTTTTAAAAAAAATCCTAAAGGAACATGAGAAAAAACACTGAAAATCTTAAGACTTGGACACATAGGGTGGGATAGATGCCTCAGGGATTTAGGACTGAACACAGATTCTTTTCCTCTAAAGTTAAGAAGTGAGGAAACTAAAAGGCTGAATGTGCTGAAGTGGTTTGGCTGGTGTGCAGAATTCTTCAGGCTCCACAAAAATAGAGCCTCATCATGTGCTACCTAAAGTCCTTGAAGTCTTTCCTGATCTTTTTAGAGATCTGTACTTTTCACTCTACTTTCAGTGTTTTGTAAAATACCTTTCCCAGCTCAGTCCTTCCCACAAACAAATCTCCAGTTCTTGCTCCCAGCTCTTCCAGAGTTAAACGGAGGATAGCATGAGGATAAAGCTAAAACAATTTTAAAAGACTGAAATTAATAGGGTAGCAATTTTTGTCTTAGTGACAATGTTTTTCCTGTTAAGTTTCCTATCGTTTAGAGTTTGGTGACTTCTTTCTCATATTTTCTCTACCATTCTTATTTTTACTATTCAAGTAAGCCTTTGACTAACAAATTTTTTGGCCCACTGTACTTTGTTTCCATTTAGTTCTGTTTTTCCTTTGTGACCTCTGATGCCCAGAATTGAATTAATTATAATCCTGTTTCACCCCTGGTCCTTGCATGGCTCTCCTTGCATGGCTCTGAGTATTTGGGAACCCACCACCCTGCCCCCAAGCTAGAACATGAATGACAACTTGTATGTACCTATGTCCTCTTGTCTAGGCTGTCCCCCTGCCTCTTCTCCATGGGTAGCCACTGTTCTGAATTGGTTAAGAGCTTGGCTGCTAACTAAAAGGTCAGCAGTTCGAATCCACCAGCCGCTCCTTGGAAACCCTATGGGGCAGTTCTACTCTGTCCTATAAGGTCGCTATAACTCAGAGGACTCGACGGCGGTAAGCTTGGTTTGGTTTTTATTCATTCCCTTGGTAGAGGATAGAGAAACTTTTATCATGTATCTATTTTAAGCAAATTATTTGCTCATTTTTCAATTTCATAAGGATATCAGACCCCATGTAGTCTACTGGGGCTGTTTTTTCACTAAACATTGTTATTAAAATGCAACCATGTTGCTGACTGGGCTATACAGCTCGTTCGTTTTTGCTACTGTACTATGTCATTGAATGACTATCCATTCTCGTTTCGATAAAACAGTTCACTGTTAGGTTTTTGCTTATTCACAGCACAGCTACAATGGTTTCTTGTACGCATTCTTCTCGTATGGTTTCCTAGTGTACATTAAGGCAAGATGTTGAGGAGATACACCCAGGAGGGAATTCCTGGGTTGAGGAGGATGTAAATGTGCTTTTTGTGTCCACTTTGAGATCTTTCCCTGCACCTCAAATCAGCAAGTTAACTCACCTATACTTTCTTATGAATGTTCCAATGTTTTGCTTTTAGCATTTAACCCCTTCATCTGGAGCTGACATCTGTGCATCGCATTCATTACACACACACACATTCTATAAATGGGTCATTTTCTCCCCAAACACTAAAAATTTTACATCTCACGATGACCACACGTTTCAGATTGGCTGTGATCTTTTGGTAGTAGATGATCAGGACTTTCTCCCCAACTATACCAGGGTCATTAATGTGAAAAACCTGTTTTGATAGCTAACGCTTATCCTTAATCTTGTTCAGGAAACACTGCTACAAGCATGGTGATCTGCTGAGCAGACTCACAAATTTTGTTTTGCAGACTTCTAAGAACAGCTTTTTTGGGGGGCTCAAAAATGCAGTCTCATGCACCCTTATTTCCCAAATATCATGTCAGTATTCAGCAGTGTGGACATTGTACATCATTACCATGGGAGTTTTGCTAAAAATATATTATTCCTGGGCTCCAGCCTAGACCTAAGAAATTAAAACCTTTGAGACTGGGTACTGGGAACAGGCATTTTAAACAAGATCCCCCTCATGTGATTCTAAATCATTAAAGATGAAAACCACAGGAAAACAGAACATTACCCATCTCTTCTTTCTACTCTCACTTGTGAGAGCATGCAAGCTGTCTAAGCTCCATTTTGATGCCTTTGTACATGCTGTAATCTCCATCTGAATCCCATTCATTCTGCATCTTGACTGGAACAAAATCTTCTCTAAGCAGCCTTTCTTGGACAGACTAGCAGCTGACCCAAAACCAAGCAACCAATACTAGAAAATATAAGCACCTACTGAAAATGCTGGTATGATTTTAAAGTTCTAGATTTAGAAATTTATTTCTGACAAGTCTTATTATGATTAGGCTAGTTAGGTCGGGCTTTCAGTAATTTCATGGAATGAACTCAAATACAACTCAAATCTCTGGCACCATCTAGGGTTGACAATAGCTGTGCTTAAATGTATTAACTTGGTTTCTGTACACAAAAGCCACCTTGTCCAAGCATGATGGACAAAAAAGCAACTCTCACAAAGTTGTGTAATTAATAGTAATACAGAGCAGGTATAGATGTCTTCTGAACAGCTGGCCTATCAAGAGGTTAGTTATTCCACTAACTTTCACCTTCTGAAATATTTGGGGGTCAACAGTCATGTAAATTAAAGTGAACTTCAAAGGGTTCAGGAGAGTAGCATCATCATATTTGGATGTACAGAGGCAATATTTTTAGTTTTCGGATTTCTACAACAGATCTACTACTGAGATGGGTTCTGGAACACCATTTTGACATCCGTAATAGAAAACCAGTTTTCTTAGATGTCTACTGTGAATTTTCTAAAAATACCTACTTAAGCTCAGCAATCTCTTATTTTAGGTCTCTCACCTTTTGAAAGGTGAGCTGCGATTAACTAACCAAACTGTGACTGCTATTAAGTCAGACTGATGATTAAAGTACTTTATTAATGCAGTTTCACATTTAGAAGAGGAACCAAGTCTACCCATTTTGCAAGTGTCCAGTTTCAGCCAGCAACTCAAGACTGCAGATACAATTCTACCATTGTAATTTTAAAAGTGGTATGTAACACAAAATACAACAAAGCAATTTATGATTCTGAGCACATAGCGCCAGAGTGAGTTCCTAACATTGGAGGCTCTCATTCAGTGACTATGGTGCCTTGAATCCAAATAAAGTGCTGTTCTCCCAACTGTATCATTGAATATGATGCTAGCACTGCTGGAAAGTCTCCAAAACTCTTGGATCTTCATCCAGAGCCTACGGAAGATGTTAAACATCTCACCACTGACATAGTCCTCAAAGTCATTCAATCAAGGTTTTACTCAGGTTGAGGTCTGACCACAAATGATCTAAGACTGCAGCTTCCAAGTTGGCCTTGACTAGTTTTAAAATACACCTTGGGCACTGGTGACTCTTCTGTATGGATGACACGAAGAAAAAAAAAAAAAAGAGCCCCTAGTTATGCCACTTGACATATATTCTTTTAATCCTTTTACCTTCCCCTTCTTCCCACTATTGTACAATTTTTATAGCACAAAGTAACACAACTACATAATTGGAAAAGCCAGGACAACAGGCCAAGCTGCAGGAAAGTCCATCCTTTTACTGATCACACTGCTTCTCCATTCTTCATAGGACAACTCTGAAGTGGCCAATTTAAAAAAAAAAAAAAATTCCAATACTTCACATACAAAAAATAGTTTTAAATTCTCCAGTCTCCTGGCACTACCGCGTGATAGTCACAAAAACAGACACGAGGCCTGGATTTGGGATAATTAAGGAAATAAGGTATTTTATATATAATTAAACTATTCAAGTCCCAAGGCAAAAAAACTCATGTTGGAAATCTTTTAAAAGGAGAGCTGGAATTTGAAAAGAACTACTACATAAAAATAGGGTAAATTAACAGCTAATATTAACGAAGTATTTGTTACAATTTATTTCAGATTCAAACTAGATGAGTGATTATGATAAACAGCTAATAGGCAAATGTGCCGTTTCAGATTCTATTTACAATTTAATTGAATGAGATCCATCTCCCCAGTCTAGCTTAACTTTCCTTTATTTCGCCTTCTTGGTCTGAGGTCAGGAGAAATTAATATGCAAGGTAAAAAGAGCTATGAATGAAGATGCATTATTATGATGTTGTCCCAAATGCATAAGAGATCTTCTCTTCTTGAAACAGACCCCAAGGCCTCCATTGCACTTTTATTATAAGATAGTACTTGGGACAATTGTCCAAAAGGGCCAATACTTCCCAATTTAATCTGAGGTCATAATGGAACAAGCAACAAAACAGTATTCAGAAGTTCAGTTTCTCACCCTTATCAAGACTCACTGCCTCCCATCATCAATATTTATTGAGCATTTACAGTGTACTAGGCACAACAGAACATACAGAAAACATTGTCCCTGCTCGAGGAGCTTACATTCTAAAAGAAAAAAAAATACACCTCTTTTAAAATGGCATTTTTGTTTGGTGTTTTCTGCAAGGTACTGAGGAAATATTCTGTAGGGTGAGCTTTGGGTATAACTTAGCCCCATCATTATTTAGAGAATAGAGGAAGAGAAAGGATTTAAAGGCAGACAATGACAGACCATTCAGGATAGGTAGGGCTTACAGGGAGATAAACACAATCTCATCAACTAAGGAGATTTGCTGCAGTAAATAGGATGAGGAAAGTAGTTTGTGGGATGCAAGCAAAGGAAGCAGAGTCTCTTATAGACATTGAGTGGAGCCAGAAAGATCATGCGGCCTTTTGCCAAGTACATGGCCACCAAGTAGAACTGGCTGGTGACAAGACAGAAGAAGGCTAAAAAAGGAAGGTAATCCTGTACACCTGACAAACAGAATAAAAGGATCAAAATTGAAGGCAGGCTATAAGAATATCAAGAAATTTTAAAAACCGAAAGTGATTTGGAAGCACAAGACTACAGTTAATGCTACCCAATGTCACAATGAGCCAAGAACATTGTGGCCTCCTAAGTTAGAAAATGCCATATACTAAAAATTTAAATGAACACATTACTTTTTTTCTGTTCAATCTCCCTCCAAAAATAGAAACTAATTTTTCTGAGAGGAGGAAGAGGAGAGAATGGGTCATAGTTGGCAAGGGTAGTAATTATATTAGTAGTATTTTTGTCATTATGATAAACTTTGTATTTAAACTTGGTAAAAGCCCATTAGCTGCCAAGAGGGAATAAGGAATGAATTTCCAAAGATGTACAATTTCCTTTAGAGAAGTTTCAGAACCAAAAAACTGATCTACATGAAAAGCTGTAGAGAAAGTAGTTGAAAAGTCCATTCATAAAACTTTTATTCCACTTACATCAACTTAATACATGTTCTTAACAATTATGCTTGGATTGTTCATGAAAATTTCATAAGACATTAAACAAAGCTAGCCATCATCTCAAGTTATTTCCCTGTTAACTATTTTTACAGCACATGCATGTTAGGCAAGTATCAAAAAAAAAAAAAAAAAAAAATCACAAAAGCAAAAAACCTAAAAAAAAGTTAAATACATGGATTTTTTGTTTTAACTGCTGTGCTTGATATACATGATGTAATGGATATCAAGCAATTTTACTGCATCTTTACTTGTACATTTGTTCTTAGGTTGCCTAAAACATTTAAATACAAATAAAATGAGTGTAGCAAAAATAATGAAAGCAAACAGCAGGTAACTTTACAAATAATGGAATGTGAACCGTTTCTGCCCTTCTCCAGAGTAAATTGGGTCACAACTTTGTCTAAAGGAACACTTCTGCAGCTGTAGTCAAAGGTGTGCACATTGAAATTGTGTATTCCATAGACACACATGGTTCAACATGTACTATCCATGGGATATCTATTTCAACCACAGCCTTGTAAGTGCTCCAAACCTTGAAGTACCCACAATAACTACACATATGATTGGAACCAATTATCCCTTTATCCCCCACCAGGACAAACCAATATGTAGGCAGTTTTCTTTGCTTAGACATGGAAGCAGTTTTAACACTGGCCCTTGTGAAGCCACAATGTACCAAAAGTACTATGCTGAACATTTATAACTTGTATAAAAATTCCACATCCCCATATTGGCCATCTCAAGATGAAAACAGGTAACTCGCTAAATGTTAACTGGCTCTACTCCCCTAATATTAAACATAAAAACCACATGGGAAATACAGAAATTCAAATAGAAGTAACATAAACCTGTCATAAATCGTAAACAAAAAACTATTTGTGGGACAGCATGGATGACAAATGGTCTACTGTGTAAATTTTAGAATGAGGCAGACAAAAGTTGGAAGGCCGGTTAATTTTCCCCTCCTTCTCCTGCTTCAGCTTCGTCTCCTTGGGTATCCGATGTCCACAACTGTTAAAAGAAAGAAAGATTTTTGATTTTCTAAAAACTGGAAAATTTTTCATATATATATATGCCAAGATACCAGATGCAAACAGTTTTAGTTGGAAGCCTTTCTTAAAAGATATCAGCAGTAAAGATAACTCAAATACGAAACCTCAATGCATTTACTTTCCCCCTAATCATTTTGTAAGCATGTAAGTATACAGCGGAGTCACCTTCAAATAACAAAGTCAGATATAGGAAACTCTTGGTTATTCATATAAAGTCAAGGGAAAATAGAAGAAACCATAAAGGTAAGTGTTAATAAAAAAAGTATCAATCGCTATCAGAACGTAACATTGTCCTGAAGAGCCCCAACACAAACAGATGTGATACACTAGTTGAGTGCAACTAAAGCAGAATCATCTAACTTGCCCCATGACTAGGAGCTAAGGTTGACTGCTCCCCTCTGCTACAGACGAGACTAAAACTCTCACTCCAAAAGAGAACCCTACACGCAGTGAAATTCAACAGCCAGCATCAACTCTGAGTTAAACCATACTTTAGTTTTTCTTAGCTTAGAAAAACACACTTTAGTGAATTTATATAGCTCAAAGTTAAATGATTGAATACAAAATAAGGTAAGAACCAAATCTTCTAAGAGGTCAAAATGAAAGTTTTTTGTCCCATAGAGGTATGATTTTCAATTCTATTATTAATTTTTTTCATTAATGTCAGTTTTTAAAAAGGTTAAAAAAAATTCAGGTTAAAAAACCTGAAAATTGATTATTTCAACTAATTCAATATAAAATTTCTAAAAAAGCTTTTGCCACTATATAATCACTTTAAAAGGTAATTATAAAAGGACTGATTCAAGAATTAAATTTTATGTTGCTTATACATAGAAAAATGAGAAAAAAAAAAAGTTCCACCCATTATTTTTCTATATCCCAAAATCATCCATTAAACACTCCCTCTCCCACCCCCCCAAAAAATCAAACTCATTGCCATCGAGTTGATTCCGACTCATGGCGACCCTATAGGACAGAGTAGAACTGCCCCATAGGGTTTCCAAGGAGCAGCTGGTGGATTCAAACTGCCAATCTTTTGGTTAGTAGCCAAGCACTTAATCACTGCACCACCAGGGATCCAATCATCCATTAGTTTTATTTATTAACCAAATATATCTCTGGCCTGGAAAGCAGACTTCTCCCAAGGCCACCAGTGCTAGCCAAATGACCTTGCTGAGCCTGTATGCTCCTGTTAAACAAAGGGTTTTATAAGACAAGATGAAATCATCTCTAATGTCTCTTTTCCAGTTCCAATCTTCAAAGATTCTTGAATTTCCCACATAAACACACGGAAGTTTGATACAAGGTTTATGTGTTGACAACACTGTTGAAATATATTTAGACTCAGATACTGGAGTAAGCGTTGGTAAAAATTTTTCTACTTAGATAAATGATCCAATCAACCTATAATGATAACAGCTGATACTACTAGGGCTCAGAACACATGTGCGACATGACAGACTAGAACCAGAACCTTGATTTTCCTCTTACTCAGACTCAGCTGTGACAGTATACTTTCATTAATACCATGCTATACTGAAACCAAACTCAACTGGCAGTTAAATCAGGTCCCCTCAAAAAGTGAAGACAACACAACATGGTAACTAGTTCCCAAGTTCCACCTTTTAGAATGAGAACTACCTCATCACCGCAAACCAGTGAAAAGAAAAATTCTTAAGATTAAAACTAATGAACTGAAGTGCTTCCTTCATTTGATAGAGATAAAAAGAGCCTTTCATTCTTTCTCGAGGAACTGAGCTTATCCTCTTGCCTAAAAACTCTTTAAGTCTGTAGATGGCCACCAACTATACTTTCTTAAAATTTTTTTAGGTATTAATATAAACAATTATGCAATAGTGTTCAAAAAACTCTTCACTGAGAATATTTAGCACTAGAATGTAGAACTGGTTTGTAGAAAACAGGCAGTGGACTAGAATAAAGCCGAAACACATAATAATGACGATCCAGAGTCCCAGAGAGAAATGGCCCTAAAACTAACAGAAGCCAGTAAAAACTAGACTATAAGCTCCTAGAGCACGGCATCTCCAACACCTAGACTTCTACCTGACACATAGTAGATACTTGGTAATTTTTTCACCTAAGCCTTAAAACTTCAAATTTAATATTTAATCTGAAAGGAGATGAATAGGAAAACCCTAAAGGACCAAGAAGACTCAACCAATTGCTAAGTATGGACCTTATTTGGATCCTAATTCAAATAAACTGTTAAGAAAAGAGAGGGAAAGATAACTGGAATTTGAACACTATTTAGATATTTAATGTTATAAAGAAATTAGTGTTCATTTCTTTGGTGTGATAATGGCATTATGGTTCTTCTTTTTAATCTGGAGTATACCATGAACAACCATTACGACATTCCATAGTAAGTCATTTTTTTAGTAAGAGACTAGGCCAAATAAGATTTCCATTTGGATTCTGTAGTCTTAAAAATTCTAACTGAAGTTATTAACACCCTACATGTCTCTATGCCACCATCTGTCCGACACTTTGTCATACTGTGGCAAACTGCATATTTGCTGTGATGCTGAAAGCTATGCCACAGGTATTTCAAATACCAGAAGGGTGACCCAGAACAGATTTCAGCAGAGCTTCCAGACTTAAGACAGACTTGGAAGAAGACAAGCCTGGAGATCTACTTCTGAAAATTAGTCAACGAAAACATAATGGATCACAACAGAACACTGTCCAACTCGCTTGCTTTGGGCTTGTCATCAGGAGAGATCAACTGCTAGAGGAGGACACGGTGTTTGGTGAAGTAGAGGGCCTATGAGAACAAGGGAGGCCCTCAGGTGAGGGTGACTGACAAAATAGCTGCAATGATGGACTCAAATGTGCTGACGACTGTGAGGATGACACAGGACTGGGTATAAGTCTGTTCCCGTGAGTCACATGGACTCAACAGCAGCTGTCTATTTCTATATAAATAAGGAGGCAACTTTATGGACAAAAAACCTTATGTACCTTTTTAAATGGAATTTAAACATTAATAAGGTCTCAGTACACTTTTGATCCCTAAAAACTCAACTCTTCTGTGACTAAAAATGGAAAAAAAAATGTAATCATTTAGATTGAAATGTGAAATAAATGGTCTATGTGATTAGACATGTCATTAATTAAAGTGTCCTTGGTCTAATATTCCAGTTCCTGTAAGGTAGTTTTGCTCACATAGTTTTAACAGCAGACAGGATATTTAATAAGAGAGACTGGAAATATTTTTAGTAATCTATAAGACAACATAATGTCTTAAACCTTATTAACCAAATGTTATAGAAAGTTATATATGATTCTCATGAATACTGCATCAAATTCAGAGACCAACTTTAAATAGTGGCCTAAGAGTTCAATATACTCTAGGTTAGCTTCATGAAACAATACTTAGAAGACAATTAAAATCTGCACCTTAAACTGCATAAGATTCAAGGTAACTGCTAATACAGATAAATCATGATATATTAGACATAAAACATTACTGACAGTTAATTACTCTCATATTTTCAGTAACATCTTAGAGTTAATTGTTTTCACTTTAAAGTGTGTATCTGAAACACTTTAACAAAACCATTTAATGATGCTGTTATGTACTTACTGTCAAGTTGTCTCTCAGTAACTGCATTATTAGCGTGCTATCTTTGTATGACTCTTCACTTAATGTATCAAGTTCAGCAATGGCTTCATCAAAAGCCTATGATAAAAAAGTGTATTTTAGTGCTCAAATAATAAGGATTATTAAATTTTCACAAAACAGGTAAAATACATACTGTCTTTGCAAGAGAGCAGGCTTTTTCCGGAGAGTTCAGAATCTCATAATAGAACACAGAAAAGTTAAGGGCCAGACCCAATCTGATAGGATGCGTTGGTTGCATTTCCTTTTTGCTGATCTCAAAAGCTTCTTGGTATGCTTGTTGTGACTGATCCACAATCCCTGGATAATAAAACATACCAAAATGTATTGATGAAGGCTTGCACTTCATCTTCATCTCTCAACCCAAACCTTTAACAGCCAATCTGAAATAGTAACATCCTGAATTGAATGACACTCTTCAACAACAACAACAAAAAAATTGGGAGCTCCTCCTGGAGTATCATACTAGCCATTGGCCATGTCAAGCTAAAAACAACTTTGCAATCATCTCAACATTATTATATTTTTTTAAAAGTCTGCCCTGCTCTATAGCTTTGCTGTGACCACCATTTCTTAAAACAGGGTGGAAACATCCCTCTGCACAAGACTGGCTTTTCAGAAAGCATACATTTTAGAACATCCTATTAGGCAGTAGCTAAATATTCTCAGGACTAGAAAAAGTATTTAAGAACATTACAGCTCCTTATTCAGTATTATAAACATTTTAAACAAAAAATATTTATGCTTCAGAAAGAGACCACTTCATACCGTGTTATTTTATACAAATTCAACAAAATAGACTTATAAAACAGCATACCTTTCTTGTCATCACCAGCAGCAACCTCAGCCAAGTAACGGTAGTAGTCTCCTTTCATTTTCAAGTAGAAGACTTTGCTCTCTGCTTGTGAAGCATTGGGGATCAAGAACTTTTCCAACAGAGACTTAGGAAGAAAAGAAACATAGTAGTGATTAAGAATAAAAACATTTATAAAACAACTTTCATTTCTTAAGACAATACTATAGCCTAAAAGTGACAAAATGTTAATATCCTGGTATTGCCTGTCAATATACAATTCTAAGTGCAGAAGGCACATGACTTTGTGGTTTAAAAGCAAAATGCTTGTGCAGAAATATTTAAAAAACCTACGCCAGAGGTATGTATTTGAACTACCAGCAAGACAGTTTTCAGCAGAGTTCAGTTTACTATTTAAGGATGATACACTTGAATATTAGTCCTTGCCAGTAGTTATTTACATGCTGATAAAACCTACATGTTTCCACGGATGTGAAGCACAATCTCTTACTTAAGAACATGGTCCAACAGGCTGGCAAACTTTCCATGTAAATGTAGCCATGACATTAGAATGGGAAAGACAGAGAACATAAAAGATCAACCTTTTGGATTCTCTGGAGTAATACTACTGAAGCAGAAACCAATACTGTGAGCAGAAATGAGATCATTGTCTACTATTTATGTATTTATTTTTCACCTTAGTGTATGGAGGGAGGAAGAAGGCAAAATTAACTAGGCTTCTTTTTTTTTTTTTTTTTTAAGGGGGAGAACGATAAAGAAAAAACTCCAGTAGCAGAACTAGGCAAAGTTAAAAACAAAACGAAAATAAAAACCACCCCCTTCTTCCTGCTAAGTTTACTCTGGAAATCAAGGTAAACTCAATTTCCAACTGGGCTGAGCCCCAAATAAATAAATTCTTTCAAGGAAAAAAGATTTCTAATTCTTGGTGTGTTTGTGTATGTATAAACCTGTTGCCGTTGAGTCAATTCCAACTCATAGCAACCCTAAAGAACAGAGCAGAACTGCCTCCCGTAGGGTTTCTAAGGAGTAGGCAGCCTGAACACTTAACCACTGTGCCACCAGGGCTCCGTAAAAAAAAAAAAATACACACACACACACACACACACACACATATGTATATACATATATATACACACACAAATATATCACCTACCTACATGCAAAAATATAGTTTGAAAAATGCTTTTAAATGTTAACTCTAATGGCCAAGTTGCATTGCATTACAGGAATGGGTCAGAGGTGTGAAAAGTCAACCTGAAATGATTTGAAATAGTTTGCAATTATTCTAACCAATATTTGAAACTATTGGCCTGAAATCAGAAGAGCATTTTGGTCAGGACAACAAAATTTTTATTACACCACACCCATACCTTCATAGTCAAAGATTTGTCAGTTGAAAAAATGTTCTGTCCTTTGAACCCCATACTCTTCTACAAACACTTACAGTTGCTCTTTGGGGATGTGCCCCAAACAGCAGAGGACAGTTAAATAGTAAGTGGCTTTTCTTTACTTGGAAAAGTAACCATGCTTTTTCAAGTTCTATGTCTTTACACAAAATGCATTACTCTTCAAACTCTGGAGTCAGTCTAGGTTTAAACTGTGGCACTCCACACTGTGTGACCCACTTAATTTCAGTGATTCAGTTGTCTTCTCATCTGTAAGGTAGCGCTTATAACACATACCTCTAAAAGTTGAGAGAAAACGCAGTGTTTACTGTTACTATCACTATACACCAGACACCATACTAGAAGCACAATAAAATATGCTAATACTTCATCAGCTAGCTACAGAGACAAGTAAAAATATAATTTCCTCCATTATAATACATATCGTAACCATTACTAACAAGATGCTAAGGATGAATTCTAAGAAATCTCCATGTAGTAGTAACTTTTGGTGGGGAGGGGTAGGCTGTTTCTGATTGGCTAGGCAAAAGGTTAGTAATACTGAATTAGCTATAAAGCCTAAATGAAAAAAGGATTAACACGACTACCAGAATTCACAATTTCAAATTAAACAGGAGAAAATATATTAAAGGCTCCATAAACAATTCAAATCAATTGTGAACGGCTCTCTAGCTCATTTACATATATTTATGTCTATCCTAAAAATAATTTCAAATAAAGAAAAAATTGACAATAACTAAGAGCAGCCTTGAAATAAATTCTCCACCTAGGCATCCCTACTTCTTATTTTACTACTTCAACACCATTTATATATTCATTTATTCTGCAAATAAGTGCCACTGTGCTAGGCACTGAGAATGGTGAGCAAGACAGTCTCTAAATTCATGAATAAGTAGTCTAGCAGGGAAGACATTTCGGCTAAGAACATTACCAAATCATGTTCTTTACTTATCAATTTTATTTAACCCACTCTATGTCTGTAGAGGATAAAAGCCATAAACATGTGCAGTTAAGGGTGAATTACTTAAGACATAAAAATTTAAAGCACACACCAGAAAACTGGGAGAAGTTATTTATGCAAGGTGTCAATAAAATACTACACCAAACTCCATCTTTTATGAGTAGGAACTTCTGTACCCCTAAAAATGTTTTATTTTACAGTGGGGTAATTCATGCTGAAATAAGAAACTGCCTGGGAATTAGAATAGCAGTTAAGTACATCCTCCCCTAAGCTGAAGACTGAATTAGCCATACATCTGGATTAAAACATTAAAGATATTAACCAGAATCCACAAGTAACAGGAGGACTGAGTAGCAGCAGTGAGGCCACTAACTGACCTAATGATAGACCCAAAGTGTACCGTATGTCAACAGTCGCAAATGTTGCTGGTGAGATGCTGACTATATAAAGTTGAGAGAGGAATAAATTACCATACTTTTATCTAGTCTTCAGATGACATAAAGCTAAGAATTATTAAGATAAAAAAAAAAATCGAGAAAGACTAAAGATTTAATCTAAAAGGGCTAACACTGGTTCAAAAGCAAACTATGTTAAGAACAAAATTATGGTAGATGTCTCTGACCACTGTTCCAGTTCTGGGTCTAATAATTTAAAAGCCTGGCAGCTTCCCCTTTGGCTGCTTTGGAGCCCTGAGCTATCCATCATGTAAGAAGTTAAACTACCCTGTTGGAGAGAAAGGGGCCAAGCCAGCCTCTAGTCATTGGACATGTAAGTAAAGCCATCCTGGATATTTCAGCCTCAGCTCAACTCTCAGTTGAATGCAGTTATGAGTGACCCCAGCCAATACCATACAGAGAGTTCACCAACACCATCCAGCCGAGCCATAGCAACACAAAAAAGAATCAGTAAGTCACCAAGTTTTGGATGGCTTGTTATGAAGCAACAGATAATTGAGATAAGGATATCTGCAATTTTAATAATAACTATTCCAATAATTAAACATGACAATATTTTTGGACACTTAGATTAAGTACTTTCTATGGACTATTTAATTTGATCTTTCCATAACACTGTGAGGTAGAAAGAATTATCCTCATTTTATAGAGGACAAGGAATGGAATATAACTTATACAAAACCACAGCTACCTTGTGAAGGAGTCCTAGTGGCGCAGTGGTTAAGAGCTCGGCTGCTAACCAAAAGGTTGGCATTTCGAATCCACCCAGCTGCTCCTTGGAAACCCTATGGGACAGTTGTACGCTGTCCTACACGGTCGCTATGAGTCGGAATAGACTTGATGGCAACAGATTATCTTGTGAAACTTCAACTAGGTAATGTGACCTGTACTCCTACCATTTACGTCACAATTTCTCTGCCTCAATACTGATGTGATTAGTAAAAAGTTCTGTACTGTGTTGACGAGATCAAATATAATGTTTTTTTAAAATTGTGCTTTAGGTAGTTACAGAGCAAATTAGTCTCCCACTTATTATACACAAACTGTTCTGTGCCATAGGTTGCATTCCTTGCAATGTGTCAGCACTCTCCACATTACTACCCTGAGTTCCCCACTTCCATTCATCTGGTTTTCCTGCCCCTTCCTTGCATTCTCAACTTTGCTTTTGGGAGTATGCTGTCCTTTTGGTCTCATGTAGATGGCTGTTGAAAGGAGCATGTTCCTCAAGGTGCCGTTTAGTTTATAGGTCTATAATTTGGGTGAAAGGTGATCTCCAGAAATGGCTTCAGTTCCTAGTTAGAAGGGTTTCTAAGGGCCATTGTCTCAGAGGTTCCTCCAATCTCTCTCAGACTAGTGAATCTGGTCTTTTATGAATTTTATTCTACATATACCCCACCACTCTAATCGAGACCTTCTATTGTGTCCCTGGTCAGAGCAGCTGGTAGTGGTAACCAGGCACCATCTAGTTCTTCTGGGCTCAGGCTGGTGGAGCTGTGGTTCCTGTGGTCCGTTAGTCCTCTGGACTAATCGTTTCCTTGAATCTTTGGTTTTCTTCACTCTCCTTTGCTTCGGATGGAAAGAGACCAACAGTTGTACCTTTGACGGCTACTTGCAAGCTTTTAAGACCCCAGATGCTGCTCATCAAAGTAGCATGTAAGATGTTTTCTTTGTGAACTGTTATGCCAACTAACCTAGATGTCCCCCGAGACTACAGTCCTTAGCTTTCAAGCACAGTAACTCAGTCCCGTGAGGTGTTTGGTTGTTTCCATGACCATGTCCCTGTGTGCTCTATTATATATATGAACATACATGCACCACATATGAATACTTACGTAGAAATACCCACAGCCAAACCTGTATATGCATGTAAGTGTACTAGCTATCTACCTATGTATCCACTCATTGTTTATTACCGTTGTTGCAGGATTGTGTACGTTAATAGTATTTACCTTCATTGCTTTTCACTCTTGTGTACCTTCTCAGTGTCTTCCCTTGCCTTGGTTATGTTGTGATTTCCCCCATATTGGGTACTGCCTTTCACTTCACCAAAGTTAACACGTGTCTACTCTCTAGTTAAGTGATTTTCCCTCCCTCTCCCTCTCATCCCTGGTAACCATCAAAAAATGTTTGTGTGTGTAAACCTAAACTATTTATAATAGTGGTCTTATACAGTATTTGTCCTTTTGTGATTGACTTATTTAACTCAGCATAATGTCCTCCAGATTCATCCATGTTGTGAGATGTTCGGTGGATTCATTATTATTATTTATTGTTGTGTAATATTCCAGTGTGTATGTACATTTTG